AGGGGCCCTTCCTTAAGGGTCCTACTATTCTTTAGGGTTCTACATTAGTGGTTAATGCTCCTTGGTCCGGGCGTCGCAGTAGCCCATGTGTACAGTCCTGAAACATGTAGGATAGGCTCAACACCTGCGCTGACGTAAGACCGTGAAGCCCGGTTACAGTTGTAGGACTTGTCATTCTTTGCCTACAAATGCTGCCGGCACCTCCATTTCCCAAAAACGCGGTACAGTATGAAGGAAACAGCCAGCCAACCATGTGTCCTCGCGGCTAGTAGCATTTATATTTATATGGGGTTGGGGGTCGCGCATGCCAGTTTATGTGCAACTTGTCGGGTTTGACAGATCTCAATTCTTTAGTGTATGTTCAAGTCTTAGAGACTTCGTTTAGGATTTGGGGCTCGCCTGTCAGCCCAGACGAAGCGTGTTCTAGTTGTTTGACTAGGTGCATTTCCAGAGGCCGGAGGAGGAGGGAGTCGGTAAAGTGGGCCGTGCAGTGTTCGGGGGTTCTTTGGGAGGGGTCTTTTGGAATTGTTTCGGGTCTACAGGGTTTATAAAGCCTCAAACCCCTATCTAGACCCTGCAATTCTAGAACCTGGTAGAAACCCTATGCCCTAAAACCTAGACCCTAAGCCCTAACCCTTATAGAACCCTTTCCCCCTTCTCTAGCTCCTCCCCAGAGAGCCCTGCGAGTCACATGGCGTACTTGGAGGATCTTGGGACTTAGTAAGTACCTTAGTTGGGGTTATAAGTAATTATAACTATAGTCACCTTATTCATAATTCAAACAATCTAAATATTTGGGGACCCCCCAATATTTAAAATTATTCAAATTATTACATTCTGATGCCCCGGACCCTCCCGAACCCCCCTTATTCAAAACCTCAGCTACTAAGTCCCATGATCCTTTAAGTAAAGCCTAAACCCCTGAACCCTAAGTCCCTAAACCCGAAGACGGCCAGTTTAAGGCTTACAGGACCCCCCCTTGGAGTCGCATGGCCTAAGGACAGCTCTCTGGGGGCGTCGCCTTCTCTTTGGGCCAGGCCGACTGAGCAGTTTGGTCCGTTTTAGGTTTTGGGTTTAGGGTTGAGGCTTAAGGCTTAAGGTTTTAGGTTTTGGGTTTTGGGTTTGGGTTTCTAGGATGTTTTCGGGTTTAGTAGAAGTTTAGAGGTTTGTGATTCTGGGTTTAGGATGTCAAAACGATCCACAGTGACATGGACCAGCGAGTTTAACAGCTTGGGTGGCTTTCAAACGAGGTTGGTTTGAGATTGCACCCCCCTCCAAGTACACATGCGTGCGCACACCACTACTTTGAGATGACTACAAGCCGACGGCTCTTAAGATCGCGAAGAAGACTAAACCCTAGGCTCTTTCAACTCATGGCCTCTCGATTCCAGCGTCAGGATGTGGACTCCTCCATTGCGGAGAGCGTCTTCGGACTTCTTGAGGCCACGTGTCGACGGCACCCAGGATGTCCGAGCGTCGCTACCTCCCAGACTCCAAGGAACTATTGTAAACAGGGCCCACTCGGGGCCCAAAATTCGAAAACTAATTAATATAGCTGTTTTAGCTCATTCGGAGAGTTAGTGCACAGGAAGTTAGTTGCCTGTTTTGTGAGGCAGGAATGCCGGATTCCGAGCAGGGTGCAGAGCTGTTGACTGCGGTGCTTGGCCGCCCTACTCCTAAGCCCTAGCAACCTATAAGCCGCAAATCCAAAGTAGAGGTCGAACTAATTGGAAATAGTATCCGCTCATGTTATAGTCCGTGCATACTATATCACTTTCTTCATATATATATATACACACAGATATACGCATCCATTGAATGAATACTCAAGGCAGCATGAAGAAGCATTTGTAAGCACAAGAATATAAGTGGGTTAACGGTTAACATAGAGGTCTGAGCAATCAGCATTCGTATCCCCCTGCAGTCCCCATTATTCCTGCAGTATAAGAGGCCCTATTCTGATTGATAAGTGTCGTAGCTTATGGCATCCTTAGTACACTTAGAATCTTAGAGCCTTAGAAGCACTACTCACTACTCGCCACTACTCTGTGAGACCTGAAGCCAACCTTTCGGCCACATGCAGTGCTGTTTCCAGCGGTTCCTGAGGAAGTATTGTTCATCCTCTTTTTCCTCTGCAGTAAACGCTGCCCAAGGGGCTGGTTCGAGTAGGTTTTTGCTTTGGGTCTAACGGACTGAATACAGGGGTCGGAATAGTTGGTGATAACATCCCCTTACATTCCCTTCATTATGATTTCTACCATAGCATATGTCAAGAGCGTAGTCTGATTGTTGAGGCCGGATGTTACAGGTTTCAAGCCGCCCAAAACGCCTGAAATACTTGAACCGGAGAATGGGGTTGGGGAAAGCTTACAATAGAGCAGCTCCCACAACTCCGCCTCTGGAAGGTTCATGGGTCCTGCTGTGCGAGTTGCAGAAACATTGGGGTTCCAGTTCCAGTTCAGGAGACTTTATAATCACAACTAGAGTGGGAGCCTAGAGCTTTGTATTCTGGAGCTCCCGTCTGCATGTTCAAAGGGAGCCATGCTTGACCCAATCACGGATATGCCTTGTTTTGAACCAAGCCTCTAAGCACATCAGTGTCGTTTGAAATTCGTAGTTGTCTCAGTTGTCTCCCTCTAGATGAATTAACGTAGCCATATCTCTTTTACTCTTCTAGAAATGTGAAACCCGAAACACTGGAAGAAGGCAAACTTTAATCCTGACATGCAGAAAACTCCGAAGCCCCTTAATGTATCAATGTACAGTAGATTCTGGAGAGATCCTGAATATGCTTTAGGGTATATTCCCAGGGTATTTGGAATCTCTGGCTTTTCCAACTCGGAAGGCTTGCGTTCCCGAGTACGACTATGCTGGTGCAATCCGGCAGCCGTCAAGAACCCAGCAAGCCAAGAATCCGGCTTTTCAGGCAAGTGTCGAGTGCAAAGCCGTATGAAGACCGGAATTTCAGCAGAATGCTTTAGACACGAATTGCTGTGGTAGTCAGCAGTAAGTAATCCGCAAGCTGCAATGTAGCGAAAAAGCTGTCTCGTAGATTATTATCATCAACAGCGTTCTATCACCGCAATCGTCAGTTGTTCTACTGTCATCATAAATGTATCATAAATCGCCAGCGGCGTTGGAAAAACAAGCGTTTGATGGCTCCGGTACCTCCTGCCGCCGCCCCACCTGCTCCTGCTGCGAAGCTGGTACAAATACTGCTACTTAGTCCAAAGTCCAAACGTCCCTAACCTAAACCAGAAACATTAGAATGACTAGACTATTCAACTTACAGCCCCGAACCCTGAACCTCACTCTCCGAAGCTCAATCAGGTCGGGGTCCTCCCTGACGGGCATCGTGCCGACTGGCACATATCCTTGCAAGGCCTGACCGGGAAAACCCCACTGCCCGTTTCTGGGCCTTGATAATCAGACTAGAGTCTTGGGGTACGTTAATACTCCAATTGGGGGCTTAAGTACGTTTATCAGGTTTGCATGTTTCGAGTTACCTTTGAACAGCTCCAGCACAGTATTCATCAACCATAGCCTATCGCTAAGTCACTATGTATGCCCCCTTATAGGGGATGCAGGATCATATCCATCAGCAGCGTACTTATCCAGGGGCCTTCAAGCAGGCACGCTGATCCCCGAAGCCCTAAACCCCATAGGAGGGAAGAAAACCCCATAGGACCAACCGGCTCATTTCCGACACCTCACCGGGTTGGTATGATACACTGTAGCAGGGCATCTCGAAGCATCGCCAAGGACACAATATTCAACATAACAGAACACTGCATGGAGGCTCCAGAGAATTGCTTGAGCAAATCGAACACAAAGGTTGTAGGTCTTACGGGTGCTCAATCTTCAATGCCCGACAAGCGAGCCTGCACGGGAGAAGCACTTGAACAACTCCTAGGCTACTAAACAATACTCTATATCACACTTTCATGACGAAGCTTATCTATATGCCGCGACTTAGCTCTTCAAGACTACGACCCATCTGTTTCGCAGGGGAAGTTCCCCTTGAGACTACAGTCCTCTTGGTTTACTTGCTGTTCCGGGTCTCCTAACCTCGTAGCCTCACCCCTAAACCCCAAACCCCTAAACCCTAAACCCTACCCCCTTTCCCCCACCACGCAGCAATCACCAGCTACCAGTCACCAGCACCATCACCACCACGACGACTGATTCTTCCCTTGAGCCCAGTACATGGTAAAGCACCTGCTAGAGGATGGAACCTTCATGATTATCGGCGCCAACGGACACTCTCTTTTCAAGCGTTTGATGGCCGTGGCCACCCCAGCAGTGTCGTGCCTAGAGCCAAACTCCAATCTCCAATCCCAAAACCCGAACCCCCAAACGGTTTAGCTGAATTAGTGGCCCTCGTGGCTTTCCGCCACCTTTCGCTCCGGATAGCCCCACGTAGCTGTCGTTGAAAGACACTAGATGGCGAGGTAACTTGGCATAATTTGCGTATTTGTCGTTTCAGCATGACAGCTGACATCTTGCTTCGCTGCTCTTGGCTTTCTAGGGATTCTCATGATGAAGGCAGTGGCTGTCACCAGGTTCCTTGCTGAGGTTGTGATACTGAAGCCATCCTGGTGTGTATGAGTACAGAGGCTTCCCCACATGACTCGTCTCGCAGCTCTGTTTTTCCCACAGTATCTCCGAAATCTTCCATGTTTTGGGCTTCCGTGACCTTCAGTTCGTGCAGGTGGGTTTGGCATGGTAAGCTGTGATGTCTGTGGATTCCTTGTTTTATCCCTTGGCTCGGCAATGTGCTTCTATAGGTGTATCAGCTGGTGTAATGCTGGCCAAGACCATGTTGTCAACTCCGGCCACATCCAGGACCAGTGTAGGTTCTGGCTTGCCGTGCTGCTCTTCTCTGAAAGCGGCAAGGCAGTAGGCTCTATGCATTCAACACCCCAAACCTCTAAACCGAAAAACCCTAAACCCAAAGCCTCTAAACCGTAAAACCCTAAAGCCCTGGACTGTCCATTGAGGTCATGGGCCGGTCAGACCTTGCAGAGGACGCTGCTACGAGGGTGGTCGGGGAGAGTGGTGGAACCAACAGCCCAGGCATCATAGTTCCTCTAAATCCAGGAATATACCTCAAATCATAGAGGCCGCTCGTTATGGTTTTAGCTATAGACTCAATTACTGCAAGGGTATTGGGCTCTCTGTGGAGGTCCCTGCTAACTGAGTTCCAGCTCTGGGTGACTTAGAAGCAGCGCCCGCTGATGGCCAAAACCCTGCGTTTGAAGGCAGGGGACCCGGCCGGGCGTTGGAATTCATGTAGGGTTTAAGGTTTTGGGTTTAGGGTGTAGGGTTTGGGGAGGGAGTACTTTAGGGTTTAGGGAGGGAGTACTTCAGAAACCGCAAAGAGTCGAATGCAAAGAGTCCAAGACCTGAGTAGCGAATTGCAATCCACAGGTAGCTGGGGTTAAAATTGTACTATAAGGCCGTACAGACTACACCCAACATGCTTTAGAGGCATTCCTAACCATGAAAGGTTTTTGACCTTTCCGTCCTCACCTAACCCTAAACCCTAAACCCCCTCACCTTGGTCACGTATGTTCCGAACCGCGGGCAGCTGTGCTCGGATGCAGCTCGGCTTGTGGTGGCGAAGCCGTGGATGCCCCATGAGGAGTACGGCAAGGCAAGCGCAAACTTGCAGCTGCCACTATTACCTATAACAAAGCCAAGACTGCTCAAGGCAGTGAGACCTTGCGCATTGCAGGATGTACGCTTACTTTATGTGTCTCACGGAACGGTCGGTGCTTCTTCTGGGTCCTCCTCTTAAACTCGTTGGCGGAGGATGAGAAGACAAAGTCAGAGTGGCCACGTCAAATGTTCTCCCAGGAGGCTGTCGATGGTGTCGATGGCGCGTGGTAGACTCAAACATACGGGGCACGCAGGTAGAGGTAAGAAGAAGGCGTTTAAGATTTCGTGTCGGCAACGTGGTTGTGAAATCACTCCTGTGTTTTAACTCGACCATTCTGCAGTCGTGGAGCTCAGTGTTAGCTGCTAGCCTTAGCTCTATATATGAGGCTTCGCACTGTGGATTAGCCTGCGCATGTGTATATGTACATCCGTCCATCCACCCACCCCAAACATATACAGGCATACATGCACGCATGCATAGCCGTGCACGTGCATGCCTACATGAATCTTCGCAGCCGAGCTGACCGACCTGCCATAGTGTCCTACGAAATCCTAGGCCTTAAACTCCAAGCCCTAAGCTCCAAACGCTCGGGTTATGAGTGCCCATAGTCATATCAGTCTCCTTGTTTATAGGATGTGGACAGCCTTTTCTCCCGCTAAACCCTACTTACATAATCACAGCAAGCCCGTACAGCGGACTTCCGGCCGCTGATACCAAAGATACGCTCAAGACGTGGCTCGATGTACACCTCAGGTTTAGGGTTTAGGGTTCCGGCCCGGCCCAGCTGACTCCTCATCTGTCCCTTCGAGTTTTCCCAACACCCTATGAGCCTCTGTAGAAACCATGTTAGCACTCGGCTTTAAACCGTTCTAAAAGCTTTCAGGTTCCTGGGAGTCTGAACAAGATCTTCTGGCTTCGGGGCTCTTGCAGTGGGGGATTCAAGTGAGTTCAACCCTGGGGGGTTGCAGCTTTCAGTGTGTTTTAAGGGAAGCTTCGGAGTTTATTGAAGCGTTTGGCAGCGCTTGAGTATAGAGCCTGGGGCTTTTTGAAGCAAGGCAACTTCAAAAGAAGGAGCAGGTAACAATCCTGTTTGATATAGATAGACTATTAATAACGTTTGTTCAAAGGAGGCTACATTGTCAAGCCTTTAGTGTCCCCTAATCCCGAAGAGCTGCTTTTGAAGTTAAGTTAAATCTGTCATCCAACCAGCTTTCTTGTGCAAAGCAAGAGCAGGACAAGCGCTTCGAAGATAATGCCGGGAGGTGCAGACACCAGGATCCTGTCCACGAGGGCTCAAGCGGTTACATGTCTGTTGAGTCAAGTCTCCAAGGTCTTTTGAGGAAATTTCAGAGTACATGGGATTGCGCACCTTCTCCAGGCCAGCATATCTGCTACCTCATAGAGTGTCAGCATTGGCCCGGTGGATGGTGTCCTGACAAGCGAGCAGTGCAGCCTCAGCTACGGTTCAGCCAGCCCGAAACCCGCAAGCCACCCTGTGCCATGAGAAAGCTGGGACTGCTATGCGGAGTCGTCATGCTTACAGGGAGCATTCAGTCAGGGTCTTGCAGCTCTTTTTGGACGATCTCCTGTTGTTTGTTTCGTGATTTCGGCTCACGCACAGAGACGGAGCTTAATTGAGCATGTGGAATTCGGCTTTGGTTTCTGCCTTATTGGCTTGGAACATTCAAATTCTAGGATAGAACGAGTGTGAGCGCCGAAAATAGGATTTCTCGGATCCAGCAGGACGTCTTGGACGAAGCCATCATCGAATGGACCCGGAGCAAGGATGCTGCAGAAGACGCTGGCCTGGAATCAGCTCAGTAGGTTCGCGACGAACGCCGGGCCCCCTACCATCCCCAAACCTTATAATGTTGAGAGGGTTCGGGTTTCCCAAGCTCGAAAGCCCTATAGAACCCCTATCGTAGCCATGAGATGATCTCTGGTATAGGGGCCCTAACCCCTTGTAGTTCTACTTTTACCTACAGTAAAGGCCCGCAAGTGTTTCAGGTTCAGGCCGCGTGCAAAGAGGCGGCTGTTCCCTGCGGTCCCATCTTCTCCATCAAGGCGCTCTGCAGGGTATGGGCTTAGGTTATCGGGAGGATTCAGGCTGTAGGGGTTTAGGGTATGGTTATCCTTGCATAAAAGAGGTTCAATCTTGCTTTTTGAGGGTTCTTTTCCGGGTTCTACGGAGCTACGTGGTTTGTATATGGTTTTGTGACGGCTTACAGAGCTCAATGGGGCTGTATAAACTGCTAAAAGGGTTTAGGGCTGCAGCGTGGGGTTACGGTACGGTTTTTCGCCTAGGCTGCACAGATGGAAGTTCGACATTTCAGGTCAACCAGAGGACCATGAGGCCTTAATGCAGATGATCTCTGAAAAGGCGCCAAGCTTGTTTGGGCGCCATTTTCACAATACCATTATCATTGTGATTTTCGGCGTTGTTGCTGTTGTCATTATTTGTGTTTCTATTGTTATTAGTCGACGTGGTCAGTATCGCTTTGATCATCACTATCACTACTGCGAGTGTTCAGTTTTCTTTGGGGATCGGGCCGTTGGTTTGTACAGATTTCAAGGCACTATTTAGGTTTAGGGCCTTGGGGCTGGGGATTACTGGCGGTTTGGGGTTTAGGGCCTCAGGTTCATTGCTTGGGGTTGCGCTTAACCGTGTAGCAGTGTAGCCTTGGCTTTTGCCGTCATCATTCTGACGACGAAGATAGACAGTCACCTGAGTGGGTGGCAACAACGAACCGGCACCCGTAATCATGGAGGTTCCTGTATGCTCGTTTGATATGTTTATCCTTTCATGCTGGTTGTTGCACTCTGTCTTGCTGTTACCATGATGCCGTTCGCACTCCTTGTTTTGAGACGCGAGTGGCCACAGGATGTGTTGAGATGTTTTGGGAATTCCTCGAGCCCTGACCCTAAACCCTGAAGCTTGGCCCGCAAGACCCACATATCGAGCTCTTATCGTTGCTCTTCAGCCCTACAGCCTAAACCCCCAGGACATCATGGAGGACGAGCATTTCCGCGCTCGCGGCTGCTTCGAGGAGCCGTCGGTCCATCTCTTCAGGTTCAGGGCAGTTCAGGCTTTGGGGCTTCAAGAATCCTAGCTCCTGAACCCTCGGTCCCCTGATTAGCAGAGGATTAGGCTAGGGTTTAGGGCTCAGTTTTCAGGCTTGCTGATATCAGATTCGGGGGGCTAGGGTGACACATGGACCCGAATTGCGTGCCATCGCCGCTGTAACTATGCTGTAACATGATCTTGGGCAGGTTGGTCTGCTTTAAGAGCATGAGTAGTCATGCAATGCTCTCTTTGTCGGCAGTGTTCGCTTGTGATGAGGATGGTGTCGATGCTGCTGATGAAGATGAAGATGCTGTCTATCATCATGAAATTTATCATCATCATCATCATCATCATCGTGACCGTCTTGGTGTGGGCCAGAGATGGGAATCCCCTAAAGCCGAATCTCGAAAGCCATTCAGACCACCACAGCAATCCTAGCTAGTATTAGGGATACCCCTCAAAGGGGACCCTTCTTAGCCCTACTTCTGGCTCTCTTAAACGGAATAAGTCTATCCCCCTCTATAGAGGGTCTATATCCCCAAGGGTCCCCCTACTCCTAGCTCCTACGCCAAGCTGCCTGTGACTTTCACGAACTTTGGCCTTCAGATCTTCCATGTTCCAGCCCTCTTGAAGCTGTGTCTGCTTTGTGTTAAACCCTAAACGTCCGAGCAATCGTAGAGCATATACTTTGCGGGCCCAAATATTAACTAAGTGGCTACTATATTGGTACTTGCACCCTTTGGGAACCACGAAATCCTAAACCATCCTAAGCCGTACCTTACCCCTAACGAAACCTTAGGGTGTTGGACCCGCGACGCTGGAGTGCGTGTTGAGGGTACAAGTTTCTCATTTCCGGCTTGCAATGTGAAGTGGCATCTCCCGCGCTTGCACAATTTCGTGTTGTCCTAAGCATTGCCATGGAAAGCATGAGCTAGAGCAGGCTACATTGAACAGGAATGACCAGCAGGAGTTTGGTTGCTTGTGAAAGCATGGTCCTAGCATCTCCCCTGTATGTATATATGCGCCGAATGTGATATAATTTCAGTCCATAGTATTTAATATGCCAGGATGTCATCCTGCCGGATGGGCGGTCGGTCAAGGTACCTGCGATTGGGCCGGCAACTTACATGCCACGCCACATTCTCCCCCCATGACAAGTTTATGACACTTATGGACTCTCACCCCAAAGCCTCAATCCTCAAGTAGGTACCAACCTCGTTTCAGAACTCAAGATGTTCAGAAGTTCGCTTATGTTGTTGGCGCAACGATATCCTTTGCTCGAGCCTTTGCTTCCTCTGATAGTCGGCCGACCACGGTAACTACAGGGGTCTAAACAAATACCAATAATATCAAATTCAATACTATTTTGCGGCTCCTTCATATAACGATGGTATAGTCTAACCCAAAACCCGATTCAAGTTATCAAGCCCCTATACTACATCATGAATTTCCAAACCCGGACAAAGCCAAGCCCTGGCCCCAACTTCCACAATGCCAAGTTCCGTCATGCATGATCCTCCGCCATGCATCCCCGGAACCTGCCCACGTAATATCTGTTTAGGGTTTAGGGTTTTAGGGTTGAGGGTAATATAATTATCCACATTATTCCTTAGGGTTCCGTATTCTAGTATTTACGGCGCCTATATTAGGCACCCAGCCTTGGCAGTCCTTTATCTTATCTCCCGTTTCTGTTGTTCGTTAGATCTCCGTTCGCGGCAGTAGGTCTCAAAGCAGAATCCGTCAAGGGAACCCTACTTTCAACAGCATCTCGGGTTGGCTTGAGGTCAATTTAGGGGTAACCCCCAGGAGGCGCGGCTGCAAAACCGGTCTGGTCTAGCCCCCTCTGTCACTTCAACGCTGGATCCAGAAAGCACGCAACTGTCAGACCTACTACAGGTGATCGCATATACCCTTGGCTCAGAACTGCAACAGCTTTGCCTCGAGACCCACCTCACAAATTCCTGATCTCCCGAAGGCTTTCCTAGATCTCATGTGGTGAAGAGGAGCCGGAACCACGTAGAGTCTTGTGAATGCTTGTGAGGCTGCCCTAAGATTCCACAGTCTTGAGCACAGACTCTAGACTTGCAATTGTCAGCCCAAAGAGTACAAGTACCAATAAGGTAGCTACTTAGTAGATGTTTGGACCCCCAAAGAATCTACTCTGCCATTACCTGGACCCTTTGGGAAAGCAAATCCTGAGCGCTCACCACTCCAACAGTCCTCTCCCTCATCACGGCTTCTGGAATTGTTTCGCCAAGGCCCAAACTGTCTGCCACGCCTGGCAACACGTCAGGGGGCGGCCCTCGGCTGGGGCAGCACACCACAGAGGCTTTCTGCGGGTTTTCGAGTATCCCTTCGGATCCGGGAAGTCACAAGCCATGATTTAACGGTACTTTTCCTTGTAGCGGATCCCTAAAAGGCCTCCGCCGTCTATTGCTTCGGTTCAATCCAAACCCAACCAACTCAAGCTGAAGAGTGAAGAGTTGGCTTGTCACAATGAGACACGCAAGAAGCCGCTGAAAGCGCCGTTGTGATTTTCTTGCGTGTTTTCCCAAAGCTGTGTTCTCATTCTCAGCCTTCCATCCGACCGAGTCAAATAAACTTCAAGAAAAATAAGCCGAAACCGGATTCCTGCCTCCGATAACGGGAACACGGCAGCTCCTCGGCCTTAGACCGAAACTCCACGAATTTAAATAAGTAGTTAACACTAGAGCTCCCTGAAACCCCCCCCCCCCCCCCTGCCCAACCCCAATCGCAAGGAGACAGAAGATTTCCTGGGATGGGCTTGATCCCACATTCTGTTGGTGGTTTGGTGTTAATGTCTTGGCTGGCTTCCTGGTTTGCAGCTTGTTACTTGTGAGGTCTGGTCGTGAGTCGTGAGCTGACTTGGGGACTAACTTGGACAGTAGGCTGGTGTAATATATATATATATAGATGTATATATTTATGTTTGTGTTTTATATTTTTTAGTTTCTATATTTATATTTATATTAATCTTTATTTATTTAGTTAGTTAGTTTTCACTCAGTTATTTATTTAGTTATTTTTATATATCCATTCGTTTATTTATATGGTGTGCGTATATATATATATATATATTTGGTGTAATTTGCACCTGTCTTCAGTCCAAGAACTGGGCGTGGTAGTTGACTGACCGTGAGCTGTGAATCCCGAGCTCAAGCCCGAAACCACGACAGAATGTTTAGAGGTCGGACTAATCAACAAGATTTCTCCGTACAGGCCCTATAAAACACATACCATAACCCTTTTTAAATAGTCATTCCCCTAGATTAGTTGAAGATCCTGGAAGGTGCTCCGTATCAAGCTTCGGCTAAGTGACGATGAGCTGAGCACTTTGCGCAGCGAGGGCGTCATTGCTGGATCCTAGCTCGCCAAATGCTATCAATTAGGATTAGGGTTTAGAATCTCGTAGACATGCATGTTGTAACAGTATATGAACACCGTAAACATCCATTAGCACCCGTGTAAGGTCTAAACGCTGGGCATACTCTTGAATGCGCATGCAACGGCCCAGCGATTTTGGGGGAATGTGGTTTGTTTTGGCCCTACGTGGACCTCGAGCCCGGGCCGTAGCTTTGCACCCTGAATCCCATCTAAGACTCTCAATGCCCCGACCCTTATGACCCTCAAGCCCAAAGCTCTAGGGTTCAGAGTTCACAAGCTTTACAGGCGCTTCGAGCATGCCTAGGAAAGCATTTGCGAATCCTTTCGACCAAGACATGGAGGAGCAGGGTCGGGAGGTTGTGCTGAATCCAGCAGGTCGTCATACTGCCAGCTAAGCCGTGACTGCCCAAATTTTCCAAGAAAATGTGTGTGAGGCGCGGTCGGTTGCAGAAATCTGCTTTCGTCTCCACATGTATCCAAATCCTGAGCCAGAAAACCCGAAGAAGCCTGCAGCCTCAATGATCCGCAGTGTACGCCGATGGCCCGATGGCTGTCACGCTTACCTCATCATCTATCTACCTACCTACATAGCTAGCTAGCGACCTACCCGCCTACCTACATATACTAAACACCTTTACGACCAGCAAGAACACCATCCGACTCGGACTCCTAACAGCTTTCGGCAGGGCTGGGACTGGGGAAGCACCTGGGGCACCTCCTGGCAGGGCTGCCAGGGCCCCAACAATAGTTTTGGGCTTGGGGGTTAAGGTTTAGAGTTTAGGCGGCTGCGGGGAACCGGGCCGGGCGAGCGCCAATCAGGCCTGTTAGGGTTGAAAGTGACAGGGCGACGCGTCTAGAGTATGTGACAGAGAGAGAGAGAGAGAGAGAGAGAGAGAGAGAGAGAGCGAGCTTTGAAACACGTTGAAACACTATACAGATTGAGTCAGGGATGGTGGAGAACGGGAGGAATTTGTTCTTCAGGAACGCAGGCTGCGGGCATGCCTACTGAAAAAGGGTTGGTTTGGGAATGGGGATGTTGTTTGTTGAAATAAATATCTCAAGAAGCAGGGTTGACAGTTCTGTGATGCAGGCGAAACCTGAAGGGGAAATGCCACTGGGATTTGTGACTAGCCAAGCATATTCCGAACCAGCCAGCATTTTGACATATGCCCTGCAAAGGAAGAGTTTTGCAACACCTGACACCAAGAGGCCACAGCTCCGAACCTCTGAACCCTACGACTTCTACACGCGAGGGTGGGCAAACGAACGCCCGTCATGGCCATCCTGGGACTCCGGTGGGCAATGGTGCCTAGGCCAAGACTTCAGTGGATCTGAAAGAGAAGTGGTGTAAATATAGAGGCCAGGTGGGTTTCTAGCATGGTGTTATTCTTTGCCGATGCTGCCATATGTTACCGCGTAGCCTCTTCTCATGATTAGGGCTATATGCTAGGAGATTCGGATATGGGGCGTTGGGTTGACTTTGGGGTGAAGGGCATAGGTTCCTTGCACGACAGCTCCCCAGCTGGGCAGCACTCTCATGGCTTAGGGGCTTAGGGACCTGCGGTTTTAGGGGTTAGGGTTTAGGGGGGCAAGGGCTGGTGAGAATCTGAGTTTCGGCTTCAGCTTGGTGAGGGCATGGCGGCGTGTTGGGACAGACCTTAGAGAGTGTAGGCTTCATGGGGTCCTGGTTTTCGTGTGGAATGAAGAAGCCTAGAACATCCAGGGCTCATCTCGCCGTGCGGGCCTTTTTGTTGTCCAGTTTGCTCCCAACCCCTGCAGCCCCAGATCATAAGACGGCGAGCTCTTCGACGAAGGCCCCTGGCACGAAAACCCCTCATTGGAAGAGCCCTTAGCCCAATGCTTCCCAACCCGATAAGGCGACAGTGGCCATCCACCACATGGACTCAGGACCTTTCGAACCGGAGCCATAAGATGCTTCTTTGATCTCTAAAGGATGGTTGCGAAGGGGAGACTATTGGCTTGTTGGTGCCTGGTGTTGCAAGCTCTGACCGGGCTTAAGAGGGTCTGCTCCATGGCTTTCTACCGAAAAAAAGCCTGAAAGGAAGTTGAAATTAAACGAAACGTGGACCCCAGCCCCCAAGTCTCCGACACTTAGCCCGCAACTCCTGGGGCACCCTGCTCTCAGATGCACCCGAGGCCCGGAAAAGAACCCGGCTTACCTAGCCGACTGAAGAGCCAGATTGGTCTCCCAGTTCCTTTTCCCTAAGCCCAAGATCCGGCATTCTAACCTGCAACCCAAAGGGTAGTTCTCAACATTTGGGTCCATTTCAGGGTGCTTTTCATAAGGGTGCCGTACTTCTTTGCTGACCTAAAACAGGATCCTAATTTAGAGAGCTACCCCCAAAACTGCTCGCTACTGTAAGTTCCCCAACCTAAATACGGCACAAGCCATATGGGCAAGCGATCTCGAGCATCAGGGATTTGTTCAGGCGCGCCAGGGCTTCTCTAGGTCAACTGACCCAAACCGCCCTGAAACGCGAACAACCCTACATCCACCCGTCAACCCTACGACCCCTAAACCCTAAACCCTGAAGCATAAACATTAAACCCTTATCCCTGAACCATAAACTCTAAACCCTCAACCCCAACGGGAGGGAAAAAAAACCTTCAACCCCAACCACCTGATACAGATCTCGATCCCTACGCAGGGCCGGACGTCCGCGCGAAGTTCATCGCCTGCTCCCAGGCAGAGTTTGCGGCATTTGGTAACGACGACGCTGGTTTTGTTTGGGTTTTTAGGTGTTAAGGTTTAGGGTTTAGGATTTTGGGTTCTGGGGTTTAGGCTTTCAGGTTTTACTGCTTAGGGTTGAGGATTTATAGTTTCGGGTTTAGGGTTAGGGTTTTCAGAAAGCTCATGGCCTAGAGCTTAGGTCTCATGCCCTACGCCTGAACTCGAAATAGCTCGTCGGGTCTAGTCTTCGGGGGGGGCGGCGGAGCGCTTCGGAGGGCTTCTGCCAGGGCTTGCATTGCTGTCCGACCTGGCACCCTTGATCTGGGCACCGCAGAATCGGATTACTGACAGAAAAATCAAGGAGCAACATGGCAAAAAGAGGCTAGACTACGGCTAATTTGGGCTGTCCGCTTTTTCGCTGTGTCTGCTTGGTATGGCAAACGAATCATTCCTGTGCCCTCTCAAGTCCGTGTGTTTAGAGATATGCGGTTTGGTAACCTGTAGCCATCGCATTTCGGCTTTTGGTTTCCGACCTTCTCTTCAGCTGCCCTGAGTCAGTGAGCCTTAGTACTTGTGTTGCACCGTCGCAATGCCCTTCGTCATGTGTGCTTGCTTCGTCGCTTCAAAAAAGCTTTAAGGCTAGGTGTGCATGGACCCGGTGCAGTATACCTGGATGCGAATGAAGGAATCGCGATTTTAGCTTTCCGCACATCTGTGTGCTTCCTGTGTTGATAGACAGGCTCCATCAAGTCATGGTAGAAAGGCTTGACGGAGCATATGTATGTCCAGTCCATTCCGCTCCGTCCATGCAAGGGCTAGCATTCCAAAGTGGCAACAAACGATGCCTCGGAGTCTTGTACCTGCTCGCTGTTTTGGCCCCCATGATGCTAGGTATCGCCCCACCCACCTACTCATCCCACTAACCCGACAGACCCATCCGCCAAGCAGCGACGTTTTTGAATTCAATGTCAGCTTCTGTACGTCTTCAGTGATGCTTCCACCATCTCCTCCCAGAGACACAGACACCGCAGTGCGAAGCAAAGCTCGACAATCACAAACTGAAGTTCGACAAGGCGGCTAGCAAGCATGTCGTGGAGCCTCCACGGGGGCTTGAGACGCAGTCTGGATATTCAGCCGAAGCAAAGGGAGCCCCCGCCAAGCCAGCCCGGAACGAACCTCAGCGAACATCCTCAGGCCCAAGACCGCCAAAAAAGGGGCAAACCAGCCAACCCACAAGCCAACGCCCTGCACATTTCTGCTCCAAACCCTACAAGACTCTGTTTTCCTGACGTCCTTGCCGCCATGGCGATGCACTTTGGGGGTGTGAAGTCCGCATCGCTGCCACATGCGGAAGCTATCCTCGCAGGCCGAGAGGAATTGGTGCACGTGATGAGTCGGAGGAAGGTATAAGTAGGGTTCTAAGTACTTGGTTGGGACCCATAGAAGTAAATCCAGTCCTGCTCAGCATATTTCAACACAATTCTAAACTTCTAAAGTCTAAACCATACTTGCCAAGTCGAATCAATTTATCCTTTAATTATGGTGTGAGAGAGGTGTGGGCTTGAAGGTACTGGCGGTCCTTACAGGGCTTGGGGCGAGGATATCGTTTGCGACCCATGCTTCGTAACTTCAGGCGCTCTTCTCTGAACTTGTGCCTAAGGGTGAAACCCTGGGCCCGTAACCCTGGGATATCCTGGGATCCTTATGTACCGACCATAGACGCTACATGTGCCCTTAAGGGTCCCCCCAGATTCCCCCCAGAAGGGCTGAGGGTCCATATCAGGGGCCCATACTTCCCTCCACGTTGTGGGCACCAGGTATCACCGAGCAGGGTGGCTGGGCGATGGTTCATGCCTCGGAGGACTCGTGAATGGCCGGCCTTGACAGATTGAAACCATAGCGTAGCTTTCTCCACAACATTAAGGCACATCAGACCCCTCACTCGAAAGTTACGGTTGGAATTGAGGGAGTTTACAGCGTTGGGGAGTAGGGTTCGGGTTCTCTTTGGGGTTACTGAGTTTCGGTTTGGGGTTCGGGTTAGCGTTTTGTTTTGGGCTGTGGGTCGCTGTCGGTAATAGGGTTGATGATATAAATCCTGCATTACCCATATAGGATTATGCCATAATTCCCATAGTTCAGGATCCTTAAAGTTTTGCAGGATTTATATCATCAACAGTACAGCTTTGGCGTCAGGGATCAGGATCTGGGCTCTAGGGGCTATAAGCATAGTAAGCTTGCCGGCTCTGGTTGCACCCCAAGTGCCCGAAAGCTACACTGATGATCTCCGAACAGCTGTGGTACCAGATATGCCGGTCTAAAGTGTTAGGGTTTACGGTTCAAGAGCAAACCGGACACCGAGGAGACGAAACAGGTATCGAATACCTTCTGAACTAGAGACTTCAAGGTTGATCCTACCCTAAGCACTAAAGCCTGAATTGGAAACGTGTTTCAAGGCTGATCCGCGATCGCAAACATGAACCCTGACAGCCCGGATCTTGAGCAATGTCAAGCCTGAGCCCGGAACCCTCACGCAGAATTAAAGCTCACTCTTAACCTGAAAAGGCTTACGTAGCTGTTAACTGTTGTGGCCCTAAGTCCCTTGACCCTCGACCCCCGAGACTGGAATACTTTGACCTTCCAAAGGAGCTACGACGAAATGCGGAGTTCGTCCTCTCTGCGGTGCCTTTGTTTCCACCGGCCAAGTTTTAGGGTGTCGGCGTATGGTTTGGATTTCGATCTGTCTACTTGGAAGGTCATCATAGCGAGGTGTGCAAGCCTGTCTTTTTGATTCGGTTGCTCTGGATTAGTTAGTCTGGAGAGCTTCCCGGCCCTTAAACCCACTTGGGACTGCTAGCCGCGTGAGGGGTATGCGGCTTCTGTATAAAAGTAAACTGGTTTGCAGAGATGAGTTCTAAACCCTAAACCCTAAACCCTTCTGTTTCCTTATCTCCTCAGAGGCTTAGAGCTGCAACCGGCAACCGAAGCCCCCAAGAGTCGAAGGACCTTGCGGCTCTAAAGCCCAGAGGTTTGGGGCTTAGGCTTTTGGGGTTAAGTCTTTGGGTTTAGGCTTTGGGTTTTTTGGTTTAGGCTTATGGGCTTCGCGTTTAGGGTTTAATCGTGGGGCTATAGAATTTGGGTTGTCAGTTTTGTGGTGATAAGTACCTTCTTCTCTTTTGGACCTGGAGTCCTAAACCCTAAACCCTAAACTGGCTGGCTGCTTCCCCGTCACTGTCAGTGCTCTCTCTGTTCTGAACCTAACCCTGCAATGCGGGCTCGTCCTGGCTAAGTGGGAGGGAAAAAAACCCTAAACCCCTAAACCCTAAACCCTAAACATGATTAAAGCCTAGTGATTCGGGAGTTCGGAGACTCGAAGTCCAACACAATCGCCAGCCTAAGCCCTAAGCCCAAACAGTGAATCGTCGGTTTGCGGGTATCGTCCTAGCCATGCAAGAGGGCAAACATCTCCCGGAGTGGGGAGCTTAGGGTTGGGAAGGCTTCAGAAACCTTGGGTTTGTGTAGCTTGGGGTTTTGGAAGTTTGTGGATGCCGAACTGGGCAGGACGAGCTTGTGGAGCTCGTATTGTTTTATAGGTTTGTGTGTTTCTTAGCGGGGTTTTGGAGGGCTTTGCAGGGTTTTTCCGGGCTTCAGAAAGGGCTCCTCTTTGAATGAGGGCAAGTACCTTCAAGTCTGCAGGGCTTATTTGGTTCCTGGGGCCAAGGTCATCCAGGATGGAGGCTGCCTGATGCACCTTAGCGGCCTTAGCGATCGGTTTTCAGATGGGTGCAGCAATCGGGGCTGCGCGTTTCCTCGTCGCTCGAAGGTTCATCTGGACTCCTTAAAACATGAATGTATGCTGTAATGGTAGTTTTTAGGTTTTGTTGGGGTTCGGCCTCTTCGTGAAGTCTGAAAAGAGATCTCCAAACGTAGGATTTGGTGTATCTACGAGGAGTAGGGCGCTGAGTTGCCACACGAAATATTGAGTCGGGGATGGGTCTGGGCTAGTCCTCCTCGCGATCTTCCTGGTAAAGGGCGCCTTAACCTCTATAGCCCCAAAGCATCCTAAAACGCTAAGGCCTCAACCCTAAACTCTTCTTGGGGCTCGGACTCTCGCCACTTGAGCCCTCCAGGCGGTGCTGTTCAGATTCAGGTGGGCCCAGGGAGGTATACATTTCGTGGCTCAAAGAATATACCGGGCCTCAACAATTCGAAGAGGGTTTTGGGGCATAGCGCGGTGCACTTATTATAAGGAGCCCTCGGGAATAGACTGTGGCTCCCCTGGGCCCAAGGTCCCAGAACCCTTCCGAGGAGGCGCAAGACACAAGACGCCCTGCAAGCAGAATCCCCAAGCTAACAGGAGAACATCGTAACACCTTAAGTCCGAAGTCTTGAAGCGCGATCCATGTTAGGAATGTTAGGGGCTGAAGCAATTGAGCCAAACCTGAAACACGCTGTGCCAGAATGCTGCTCAAGGTATGCATCGGACGAGCTCTGCGGCGACGAACAGGCCATCAAGCCGCTTTCCTTCTTCCGCCCCTACAATCAACACTCACCTAGCAATCTAATGCGACTAGAGTATCAGCATAGTTTGTCGATCTTCAGGTTAACGGTGCACCAACGCATAATCCCCAAGTCTCTGTCACGCTGAATCAGATGCAGCCTTATGGTTGCACTTATACTGTAGTGTGCTCGTCTCCCTACTCTAGTTGGCAAGGCCCTTAAGCTCGCCCCAAAGCGTAAACCACAAACCAACCTGACCAGAAGCATCCAAAGGTGTTGCGGAAGGTTTGAAGGCATGGGGCTAAAGTGATCACCGAAGCGGACTCACCGACCCTATTCCCTGAAACCGAAACTCGCAGCAATGGCGTAGGGTGCAGTCTATCACAATTTGTAGTTGGCATCACTGCATTCTGCCCCATTAGGCAGCACGTCGCCCGAATAACATTTCCAAGAGGGTCTTAAGCTGGACATGCCTTTAAGTTTCTCTATAAGAGGCATTACGGGTATTGCGGTTCCTGTGCTTGCGGCTCAAGACGTGAGCCACATTGGAGCACACTTCCAGGAATCCCTGACAAACCGAGACATATGGCGACACATGTTTGAGGTTTCGGGATGTTTAGGGCTTATAAGACTTAGTAAATTGAGTCACTTGAACTGAAGAAGTTGCTGCCGAATTGTTGACCCGACGGCTAAGGCAGTAACCCCAGGCCCTAGGCCCGCTGCAGGGGACGACCTAGTCAGCTAAGCCGGTGGCAAAGAACTTGACGACCTAAACCGAAACGTTAAGCCCCAAACCCGATTCACTCCGCGTTGCCTGAACCCTAAACCATACCATAGACCCTAAACCCTAAGCCCTCCAGCAAGCAAGCTTTTTGTCCACATGGAGACCTGTTGGTGGTGGTTGTGGGCCACGGGCCTCCATGCCCTTGCGAGAGCTGGTGGAGGACACGGCATGGGGCATAGGGTTCTATACCACGCCAGATACTTCCAGTCTTCCGAAACACTTTTCACCCCCCAAACCTTGAATCCCAAACTTCCCTAAGCTTCAACTGTAATGGTTCGGATCTTTACATCTCCTCGACCTGAGAGGAGAGTTCTTGATGCGTGATCCAGTGAAGATCGGCCACAGGGCAGAGGTTGGGCGTTTAGGGTTCTAAGGTTTGGGGCTTTAAGGAGTAAGGCTTTGGATCGCCAGGCATCAACTTCAGGATTCAAAATCAAAAAACCCTTCTGCCAAACTAGTATGAAGAACTCTTCTGAAATAGGGTTCCCGTCTGGATATCGTTGAAAAGGGGAGTTTACCCCAGACTCCTCCACTGCAAGCCACAGGTGAAGCTGAAGGACGGAAGAGACGTGCATGTGCAGACCCTCAGTGACTACAGCACTGGGCTACCGGCCTTCTTGGTGGAGGACCTCGTCAGTAAGGAGGAGATAGCTACAATCCAGGCAGCTGCTCTGCAAGAGGGCATGGCAAGAAGCATAACGCAAGTTTACAAGAAAAGGGTGACCAAGAAACGGGCAGCAAGGATTTTCAAGGAGGTGGATGCAGATCGAGATGGTGCCCTGGATTTTCAAGAGCTCAGGGAGTTCCTCCGCGAGGCGGCAGACATGGTCGACCTAAACTACACCGCCTTCCTGCATGACCAACTGGGCTTGCCAAACGCAGCTGAAGCAGCGGCAGCCGGCAGGAAGCTCCGCAAGAAAGAGATCCAGGGCATAAACTGGCCAGCTTTCTTCCGCGCCTGCTTTTCGAATTCCCCGGAAGCTGGTCTGCTTTCAGGACATAGGTTTCATTTTCTGAGCATCAAATCTGCTGTCCTTCGAAGCCTAGGCTTCGTTCAAAGGCAAAAAGAGCCGCCCAGGAATGGTTCTCCCGCTTCTCAAACCAGGCTTGGCTGTATTATGAAGATCATGCAGGTCTGGGTGACATTCTGGACAAAGTTGCCCGGGTCACTGGCTTGCCCCTATCTTTGGTTCAACGAAATGCAGAGGACATGCAAGTCTTTTGGCTCTTGAGTTCGTTTACCGCTGTATTGCCGCCTTTCTCAAGACTGAGCCAGTAGGAGTTGCGCACAACATTCAAAAGTATGCCATCCCACCTGGTCTACAGCCCAGGTCTTGAGATATCCAGCCGGTGGTGGCCATTACTCTTGCCACCACGACACTGCCGCCGACGCCCAGGAGGAACACCGCTTCATGACGGTGTTTTTCTTCCTGAAGCTGGGCGGTTTGTGATAAGTTTCAGTTGGGTGCTCCTAAGAATGCTTGTGTATGCATGTATGTATGTGTATGTGTATGTGCATGTGTATGTGTATGTGTATGTATATGTATATGTGTATGTGTATGTATGTGTGTATATATATATATGTGTACATGTCATATGTATATGTATATGTATATGTATATGTACATATGTATGTATGTATGTATGTATGTATCTATGTATGTACGATGTGTGTGTGTGTGCGCGCCTGAGTTGCAGCATGTATTGATGAGTCAATGGAATAAAGCATAAACAAACGACTGACTTAATGAACGAATGAACGAATAATGCCTGACAGAATGAGATCGGCTCATGCCTGCGCACACACACACACGTGTAGATACTTACATGATTTATATATATATATAGTATATATATATAGTATATATATATAGTATATACATACATACATACATACATACATACATACGCGCACACACACATTCCACATGCATTTTCCTGGTTTATTGTTCTATAGGTCGTATGTACTCATATCTTGAGTTTGATTGGCTGATTCATGTATATTCATTTGTTCTTTTCCTTTTACAATTATACATGTTCATGTGAATTATTCTAGCGTGTATGTGTCGCTAAGCGTGGTGTTGTTGTTTCCTGTTGCAGTGTCGAAGAACGTTGCAAACATCCCCCAACCCTAAACCCGAAACCCAGCTTGTATGGCGGAGTGAAGGCACGATGTCCCAGTAGCAATCACAGACCTTCATCAGCCATGTCAGCCTTGTGCGAGTGTGTGAGTCGAAACCCAGGAACGACATCGAGGATGGAGGCGAGACTGTCCTCTTCGGCACTGACCTGAACGGAAGCCGTTCCCAAGATATCTACCTTGCAGGGGAGGATGTGTGGAGCGATATCGAAGCTCAATGCCAGTCTGTCGGCAGCTGCCCACAACATCCAGGCGCGCAACCACCGCCTCCCTTCTCTAATGCCTTGGTCGCTGGGTTCTTGTTGTGGCACTCAAATCTATGTTTCCATATCGGTGCATGACAAGTATTCGGCTTTCCTATTATTGTGAAGTAGGCTATAAGTTTCAAGAAACAAGCCCAGGTAGTCCAGCCTCGTGCGGGCAGCGCTCTCTTCTGGTACAACATGGAACTGGAACCAGACGGAAGCATTACTCGGTTTCTGTGGTCGAGCATCCACGCCGGCTGCCCCACGCGAAGCACTGAGAAGTGGGCTTCAAATGTTTGGTTACGTACACGCGCCATGCGAGATGAACTGTGATCCTGGCGCTGATGTTCTTGAAAAAAGCCCTGTAGACTGCTGTCATGAGCCTAAATTATTATCTTTATAATATAAGTAATTTCAGTAATCCCCACGTTGCGCACAGGTATGGCGCTCCACTAGCCAGTCTCCTATGTACGATGCCAGGAAGCAGTTGCTGGAATGTTGTTGGCTGAATGCCTTCGGAACTTGAACCGCTCACCGTTGAAGTGCCAGATGCGCCCGAACCTTGCTGAACTTATTTAGGCCTGTGAACTCAGTCCCGAGCTGAACCTCCAACTTCCTAAGTATGTACCCTAGTCTGAGACTCCGACCACTTGCACAGGTGGTTCTGGCCGTCGCAGCCCCAGTGGGTCATATGGTTTGGGACTGGGATGCTAACCCCTCCACTCTAAACCCTACCTAAACCCTATAGGCGAGTAGAAACCCTTAATTGGAGGATCATGGGTAGTTATTATAAGTAGGGCCTTAAGTCCTTCAACATGGGCTATAATTCTAGTTACCCTACTGATAACCCCATGTATAACAACCCATGAACCTCCAAGTAAACCCCCAAGACCAGATAACACTGATGTGGGGGTTTCCGAAAATAGGGGACCCTAATATAGTACCCTAAATAGTAGGATCCCTATTATGAGGACCTCAAAATAAGGTACCCGTTGTTTTGGGAAACTCCCATATCGGCCGCGAGGGCGAGAGCGAGCCCGTCTCCCTAAAAAGTCTCTGCTTGGCTCGTGCCCAGAGGTCCGGAACGCCAGAAACGCCTGCCTAGAGGGTTTATAGGGCCTGAATCTTCAAACTTGTTTCAAGAATTCCGGAGGCAAGAACAAGACACATGAAGAATTCTTCCACGGAGAGTGATAAACATCTTAAGCCAAGGCCGTGGAGCAGGATGGCAACGCCATGCGCTACGCTTCGCCCGCGCTGAAATCGGACCCAGTCTTCGCGTGTCTCAACCGATATACTCCAATCCGGGAAGCTTTTTGGAATTCAGCGTTGTTCTCTAAAGCAAAAGAGGGAGTTACGACATTTTGGGCGAACCCGATCCCCTAGAGCAGCGTAATGCTCTCGAAACGCCCTGCTGCCAGTGCTTAGGCTCAGCGGATAGTCCAGGCTCAGACTGTATGACGGTCGTAGGTGGCGCAACATCCGAGTTAGGGCATCTCGGCTCTCAGATGACAGGGCCAACGACTTTGAATCCGAAACTTCAAGCTGCAAGCGGCAAACCGACATCCATGTTCGAGACCCTCACTCGCTGCAGAGGCTCGAAGCAATCAAGAAGAACAGCGAGGCGATCCTTTACATCTCGAGAGATCTCCGCCCCTTTTTGGCAAAAGGATCTCGGCGGGACCGACTCTGGATTCGTGGTTTGGGATCCATGGGGCTCAGTGATACTTAGGGTGGGGGATTGTATGAAGGTGTCAGGAGGATGCCCTAGCCTTCAACAGTGTGAAGTAAAGACGGACACCTAAGAGTCGTCGCCGGCAAGAACCTTCACCAGTGCAATATACATGGGCCATGCACAACAAGGCAGCAAAACTGACAAAAGCATCTGGTACATTACATGCGGCGGCGTAGCAGCTACTACGACAAGTATCCGGAAAGTGCAAACAGGGCTAGTAAGTATCTTGATTTGAGGCTCTTGATATTTATACTCATGGCTGCTTTAGGCATGACTAGTCGGAACACTGCTGGGTTCAGAATGTGCCACCCTTGAAGCCCTACACCCAGGTCACACTGAAACTCAGAGACTTGCGGCAGGTAGAGTCAATCGTGCTTCCAAGAGACATGAAAAATCCCATATATTATATCGCTCTTGTAGGAGAAGCATAGTATTCACTCAGCAAAATAAACCTTGTAACCAAAGCCCCGAAAGCCGTGAGTAATCCCTTGAACCCCTAAACCCTAATCCCTTCAATACTTGAACCCGAAGTAGGAGGCAAGAAATCGCATTGTCAGGTCAGGACCCGCAGTTCACGCTGCAGGCCGCCCTCTCCGGCTGCCACCTGGTCCTTGGAAGTGGGGGGTTTCGGGGTTTAGGGGTTTTAGGGTTTGGGGGTTTAGGGGTTTAGGGGTTTAGTCAATCGTGTACGTTAGATCCTTTAGTAGCCACGAGTGCTGCTGGAGGGTTGACTTGCTGTCTTGTGGAGTTTCCCGGCTGGTTGCGAGAGTCCTGGATGCAAAAGGTCTTCGAGTACCTGTGTGAGAGAGAGAGAGAGAGGCTTTCAGGTTTTACTGCTTAGGGTTGAGGATTTCGCGTTTAGGGTTTAGGGTTTAGGGGTTTAGGGTTTAGGGGTTTTAGGGTTTAGGGGTTTAGGACGCTCTGGGAGCTTCGGTACAACTCTCGGGCTGCAGGAGTGTTTGTACAGGGTCTGGGGGTGAAAAGTTCTTTTTTGGACGTTTCGTTTTCGGGGTCCATCGGTGAATCGTGTTTAGGGTTTAGGGGTAATGATGTGGCAGCTGTGGGTGCCTGGGATACTCAGAAGCTGGGTTGTAGGTATGGCAACTGCAGCGCACCAAGGCCCTTTCACGTCCCAACTTTTAAGCTATGCACCCACGACCAATCATACACCTCAAGCCTGAAATACCTTAAATTATCTGAAAACCCTAAACCCTAAACCCTACTAAACCTTTAAAGCCCTCAACCTTCAAACCCCAGGGCCCTAAGAAACACTTAAAGCCCCTCCATGCTAAACCCTAAACCCCTGACCTCTGCCCTTATATAACCTACAGCCCTATAGCTACTATTGGAACCCTAATTTCTACTATGTTTCCCCGAAGCCCTAAACCCTAAACCCCTAAACCCTTGAACCCCTAAACCCCTAAACCCCCTACACTCCTAACCCCCTAAACCCCTACACCCCTAAACCCTATAAACCCCCAAACCCCGAAACCCCTAAACCCTTAAACTCTAAACCCTATAGACCCCTTAACCCTATAAACCCCTTCTACAGGGCCCCAAAGCACCGGCTGAGGCTCCCGGGACCTCCTCGACCCGAGGTTACGCGTTTGGCTGGAGCCTCGCCTGAGCTGCTGAAACCTACTTAAAGGGTTAGGGTTTAGGGTTTAGGGGTTTAGGGGTTTAGGGTTTGGGACTTAGTAACTGAGGTTGTAAAGAAAGTAACTCTAGTTATAGTTACTTATAAGCCCAATGAAGGTACTTATAACCTTACTTACTAAGTCCCAAGATCCTCCAAGTGGGGTTCTCTACGGGCTCCTTTTTGGGATCTAGAAGGGCCTGAATAGGGGGCTTCTAAAGGGGAAAGTAGGGTTCGTCTTTAGGTTTCCTCTTTAGGCATTTTATGGGGACGCTGCGGAAAAAAGCAGGTCACTGATCCACACAAGGAAGGTTCTAGGTAATGCTTTCGGCCTTGAGCCCATCCCAGAACCCTAAACAATAAACCCTCAAACCCCCTACACTCCCAAAGCCTGCAAACCTCTAAAGCCGACGAAGACCTTCGTGGGGTTTCGGGTGGCTTTAGGGAATTCGGACCCGGAAGCCGCTGTAAGAGCCTCCGGAGCTTAGGCTGGGCTCGGGAATTCGGCGTGTAAGTTGATTCTAAACTACCCATGAGGCTCCTAAGTAGTTCCTTTTTGTCGTTCATATTTAGAATCCTATAAGGAAGGAAATCCCCAAAAGGAACTTCTAAGAGCCTATGGGTAAAGACTAAGCTAGAAAATGTTGGTGAACAGAGGAAGTGTTTATATATTTAATCTGTCTAGGTACTGGGATTCTCGATATTTAATACTTTACAACGGCATGAGGATACGGATGTGGAGCCCTAAACCCTATACCCAGCAAGGCTCGTGGAAGTTTAGGCTCTGAGGGTTGACGGAGCTCGGAGTCGAGGCTTCATGGGTTAGGGGTGGGGGTTGAGGGTTTAGGGCTGAGGGCCTCGTAGTTGTTTCTTTAGGTGTGGCCTGGGAGTGCTATGCTTTCAATATTCCGGGGACTTGGGACTTGAGAGTGCTGGGTGATGACTACAGGGGTGTCTCTGAAAATCGGAAGTGCTCATTCTGAGTTGACTCCTGGTCCCGATTTCAGAACTTCGAAATGTTCCGGTGCGAGGGCTCAGAGGTTTGGGGCGGTGAAACGGTCATGGATCCGTCACCGGGTTTTTGTCAAAGGTTGGGTTTGTCTGCCGCACCGCAGTCGAATTTAGATTTCTTAGTCTTACCCATAGGCTCCTTAGTAGTTCCTTTTTGGGGTTTCCTTATAGAATTCTAACTATGCACCACAAAAAAGGAGCTACTTAGGAGCCTAATGGTAGTCGGCAGCGAGGCAAGTTTACTATAGGGGCCTTAATAATCAAAATAGGGTTTTGGGGCCCAGTATACTATAATTATAATAAGGAGCCCCCAAAATAGTATACGTAATTATTAAGGCCCCTATATTAGACACTTTTGGACTTCGTCCGTGAACTCAGGAACAGCGAGATGAGCTCTTGGCCCGGATGCGGACTGCCATCGACGACCAAGATGTCTTCGGCGTCAGGGAGGCAGCACTGAATACTTGAACCCTACTGTCAGAATAGCTCGTCATAGCATTCCCTAATCGTCCGTGTAAGCCAACAGTAGAAGAGACCCTGTTCAAATTGCCAACCCGATGCGTGGCTATTTGTTGATTGTCTTCATGTATGGAGGTTAGAGAGGATTTTCTCCCACCCGCGATGTTCCACTGTGCGAAGTTCTCGTCTCACGCCCTTGCAAGATCAGGCTGCGCAGCAGCTTTGAAAGTGAGTGCCAACAGAGTGAACCCTGGACAACTGAACGAGGTCATCAAGGATGGTGAAGCGCACGGTTTGTCAGCATCTTCGCTGCAGGTCTCTCACGTCTTTATAGTAGTCTTCTTCCAAGCCCACAGCCACAACTCTTGCCATTTCCAACGACAGAAGGAGACTTGCTGGAAAGCCCCTTTCGAAACATGTCGGCCTGTCGTGGTTGATTCTCTTCCTCAGTTCTCGTTAAGACTCTTCGTTTAGGAGACGACTGTGAGTAGAAGGCCCCTCCAATGAGAGGCTACCAGGGATGAGGCATAGTGCCCGAGAGATCTTGAGGGGCTCTTTGCTGGTAGCAAGATGTGTTTGCTTGCCTTACGGTTGATGGTACAAATCCTGCATTACCCATAAGAAGGAATATGCCATAGTTCCCAGAGTTTAGGGTCCTTAAGGTAGTGCAGGATTTCTATCATCAACAGTATCCCCAAGGATCAAGATCTGCAGGAACCTCGGATGGCTCTCAAGAAGCTAGTGCCCTGGCAGCAGTGGAGTGGATCAGCAAGCAAGCCTGGGCTCATGCCTTGACTTTTAGGGAAAAGCTTCAAAGGATTGATGTAGATAGTGAAACCTAATTACTTACTCTAAACCCTAAGCCCTAAACCCTGGTCAAGGCTATGTGGGAGGGAAAAAAACCCTGGTCAAGTTCAAAGTATTGATGTGGATAGTGAAACCTAATGAGCTACATGTCACCCTAAACCCTGAACCCTTAACCCTGGTCACGCCACGGGATGGTTGTCTAGCAGCTGCAGTGACCTGGGAGGGTCGAAGAGAACAACTTGACATCGGAGGTTTGAGCCAAGAAACCTCAATACCAAAGTCAACGAAGATGTCAAAAACTTATACAGGGGTTTGGGAAAGTAAGGGACCCTGATGCCCTTTATATACCCCGACCATGAGGATCCCTTAATTCATGTTACGTGATGTAAGGACTTGAAGGCCCTCAGCCCCTGCCCCCAGGGCTTGGCAAAGTTCATGCAGCTGCACCCCCTCAGCTGCGAAGCCTCACTGCTACCCTGCACCAGAACTGAAGCCCCGACTTCTAGAACGACCCCTGCCCAGATCAAGTACAGTGAAGTTGGCAGCTTGCCGGGCTCTCAGCGCAGGGGCCAGGGCTTGTCCCTGATCCCTGAACTACGGGGCAGGGGCGAAGGGTTAAGGGTTCTGTGATAAAGCCCTGAAGCTTTGGAGCCGGATGGCAGCCTAAAGGCCACACCTCGCGTTTCACTGGGTCATACCATCTGCAAAGGCCATGACTGGGCCTTCTCACCCCCCCAAAGTCAAAATCCCTAACCCGGAAGCCTCAACTCGCGGATCCCAGCATGCCCCACAAGCGCTAGCCATATCGCGGTTTCCGGGCCGTCGGGTCGTCCAATCAGGGTTCAACGTTTTGAGAAGGCCTGGATGATTGGAAGTGGTGGGCCTGAAACACCGAAAAAGTGAAGCGACGCACCCCGACGAAAAGCTTTAAATTTGTGGTATGTGAGGATAAAGTGAGAGCAGCATCAAAGTTATCGCAGATCGCGACGCCACACCCTTCTCGTCGAAAGATGATTATGAGTCCCTAGAGCCTCAGGGTTACCCATAGGCCCCTAAGTNNTTTTTTGGGATTACCTTATAGGATATGTGAAGAGAACCGACCCCGACCTCGAGCTTTGTCTCAGTGTTTCCTCCGACGCACGTAAAGCAGCGCTGTGACCCTAAAAACTTTCACCAATTCCAAAACCATCAATTTCCACCATTCACGAACTCTATATCCGATTCGTGGGCGCATGCAGAGGGGCTCTACAATCAGGCTTGTTTCAATCGCACTTAAGCCCCAAGGTTGACTCAGCTTGTTCAACCCCTCAGTCAAGTACATAAACCGCTAGATCTCGAAAGCTCAACGCCGCCAACCTGCACTCAGCCCGAATCTTTGCAGACCAGGTGGGAGCCATTGCGACCAGGAGATAGCAGCCTGGACGAAGATCTCCCCTGCCTAAAGAAGAGCAGCCCCAGGTTAGGGGTGGAGAGTTCTGGGTGCAGGTTTCAGGCCAGCGGTGCTTATTGCATCTAGCTTGCCATCATCGTTCCAGGGAAGGTGTGCTTCAACGCAGGAAGGTCTTTTGGTGCCCGCTCTAATTTCCCAGATTTCGGAGGTTCATTTGCCGTGAAAGGCGTCAAGCGGCAGCAGCCCTTAGGCACAGCAGCTTCGGGACATTGCCGCATCGTCTCGCTAGGTGGATTCAGGGCGTAGGCTTGAGTTGCAGATATAGGGGCCTGTGAACAACTGGCTGAAGCCATTGAGTCGATCTCGCGGGATTTCCCGCATGAGTCCTGAGCCTAGGTGGCGAGGCGCCCATCGTGCTCTTGCGAGGCCTCGTTACAGTCATGCTCCAGCTCGTAGCTTGCATGTGACATGGGCGGAGTGCAGTGGGGCAGCGTAGGGGAGCCTGGCACTGAAGACTTAAGCACTAGGCGGCTCGCGCCTACAGTTGCTGGGGGGGGGGGGGTACTATGCAGTTCCGAGCTGCAGAGAGCCTGTCGCCGTACAGACGAGGTTTAGCCTGGGGCCTGCGATTGTCAAGTCAGGAAGTGCGAGAGGCTGCATGCTGGAGACAGCCCGGGGTACCGCAAGCTCTTTGTGCAACCTGCTATAATATAAAGCCATATGATCTCAGCACAGCCGTATACACCCTTCATTGTTATCATAGATCCTAGAACCTCCCTCATCCCTACATTCTCCTGAGCCATAGTTGCAGAGAGACAGAGAGTCTTAGAATTCCCCAGCATTTCTTATTTGCTTCCTACCTAATAGTACACAAAATTCCCTAGGGCGTCTTACAATGCCAAAAACCCTAGAACACAATGAGCCCTAAACCCTAAACCNNAGCCCCCCAAACCCCTAAACCCCTAAACCCTAAACCCCTAAACCCTAAACCCCTAAACCCTAAACCCCCAAACCCTAAACCCCTAAACCCCTAAACCCTAAACCACAACTTTTCTGAACCTCGCCTGGCTGTGTCCGAGTTGTGGGAGCGTACACCACAAAAGTTGGTTGCGTGGAGGCTCCTGGCTCGCCGAGTTGGCGAAGGCGGGCGGACGCCTCCCAAGGCGACAGGAGCTTCCCAAGGAGGCGCTTTGGGCCCCTCGGCTCGGTTTTGTTGGGGGAGTTTAGGTTTAGGGTTTTACATAGGTTTATAAGGGTTTAGGGTTTAGGGCTCCCTTTTGTGGGGTTTTTTTGTATACCTTTTTTTTTTTTTGGGGGGGGGGGTTTAGGGCTGGAGGGGGACGGGCACCCTAAACCCTATAAACCCTAAACCCCTAAACCCTAAAAACTTCAAGGGCTTCTATACCTGCAGGATGCCGGAGATATAACTTGGCTCTGTAGGGTTTGGAGTGTGGAGTTTCGCGCTCTGGCAGGCGGAGGGGATAGAGCCTTAGGGCAAGTTCCCATTTCTCAACCAAATTCAACCCGGCACCCGAAGCAGAGAAGCCGAGAGTCAGACTGCGTATAGAATACCCTCTAACATACTGTACTGTAACCTATCCTGCACAGCAAACCAGGTAGTGGAAGCTACTTCATCTTCCGAAAACTGTGACCAAACTCAATGGCGTGAGCCAGCTGGTCATTCACCGGAACTCTTGACGGACACCAAATCCACTATTCTGCCCGGACATACTTTACGGACATACTTTACTTCATATTCATATACTTTACTCAGCAAGGTTAGTAAGACCAGAGCGATCTATTAATCCTGCTTAGCTGAAACCTTTCTGCAGCACACCTGGAGCCCCGAACAGAATGCCTGGTTGAGACCTTGAGTGCATACACCATAGTAGCCATAGTATTAGCCGGCTTCCGCGAAAACCCAGGCCGGTGTCATCCTGGCTTCTAGAAGCCTAGTGTCTGCGGCTCCTATTGCTGGCTGTTTTAAAATAAGCTGCGCAGGAGCTGATTTGGCTCGAGATGTCTTGCCAAAGTGTAGGCTAGGAGGTCAACATCTCGCCGAACTTCGAGGATGTCCAGTGTAAGCATGTGGTGGCTAGACGTTTGTCCGGAGCCTGTGCTGGCCGTGCTTTGCAGAAGCGAGCAGATACATCAATCCGAGTTCTCGCTTGCGCCAAAGTGCCAGAGTGTTACTGTAGAGTCATCCACAGATGTGGGTCCAACTGGATGGGCTCCTGCGACTCAAGAAGCAAGGTCATGTTTGCCCGACGACCTTGCAGCTTTTCATTCTGTGATGATTGTCACGGCGTCGGGTGCAAAGGGACTCGGATTGGGTCCAAACAAGGCGTGCTGCGAGCGAGCGGCTTATGTGGCACATGCAGCCTCCTCCCGCTGTCATAGTTTGCATGGGCTGCCTCAGCATGTGTTGGCTTCCTTGCAAACGGCAGCCAAATCCGCAGAGATGCTTTGCCCCGTTGAATCACGGTACGATTTTGTTTCTCAGAAGATCCCAGACGGCTGTGCACAGGACCTTTATGCTGCTGTGTGGCATGTTGGAGGGCAGGAGGAATGCAGGGGCTATTTCCATGAGGAAGAGGCCACAGTCTTAGAGAGGTTCCGCCAGCTACATGGCGGCCCCTACTGTGCACGAGTGCTTGATCCCATTGGCCAGACTGTGAAGCAGTTCGGTCACTTCAACAAGAAAAATTGGCGCTGGTCTGAGTTGCATAAGTGGTGGCAGTCCCACAAAGCTCCAAATTCCTCGTCAGCTTCCGCGCCCCGGTCCAGATCACCGCCAGGACGAAGGAAGACCGCCCGTTTCCATGCCTTTGTTAGAAATGGTTCTCCGTACTCGTGACAGATTTGTGAATCTGAGACTATTGATTGTAGTCTTGTACCTTCAAACAACTACAACAACATCTTCAGCAGCCGCCCAGGTTCTGTTGAAGGGAAAGCTCCATGGCCGGGTTCACGGTCATCTTCACAGCGCGAGGACACAGAAGGCAGAAATCAATGCTGCGGCGAAACGCGGCTGCAGTTGACGAGTGGTTGTTGTTTTAGTTAAGTTGTGCAGATTGCAAGAGAGCCAAGTGCTGAGCAGGATTGATCAAGTCCCCAGGAAGAGCAGCCAACCCGCTCCAATTTCTGCTTCGTGTGCGGCAAAGAGTTACGCAGCGAGATGCCAGCGCCCAAAGAAGTGGAGGTGGTCGGATTTGTCTTTGAAGGCGGTGAGAAGGCAACGGATGCAAAAGCCAGTGCATGTTAGTTGGTGCTTCTTACCAGTAATCGAACTTGGTACTGCACAGAGCTTTGCTTCCGACCGATCAAACCCTCGGTTCTTCTCTGATCATCGTATCGACAGGTAACGAAACCTGTATTCGGTCATACGAAAGATACTTTGCTGGCGAGGTCCTATGTGAGGAAGACGATTGGGACGAATTGCGCCGAATAGTGTCACAGAAGCATGTCAAGACGGAGCTGGATCAGGAGGACGATTTCGAGCTTGGCAAGAGTTTAGATCCTCTCCCGATCGTCGAGGTGCCAGTGGAAGATGTTTGGTGTTTGCAATCGCGAATTAGTTCCAAGCTCCGTACTGGCCAGTCATTAACTGACCTAACGGCGCAGCTCAAAAACGGCCATGTGAATCCGAAGAAGGCTGGCTTTCTCTTACTCAACATGGCCAAAGCGCAGTGGTACGACAGGCGCAAAGGTGTTAAGGTCACAAGGTTTTACACGTTCGACCACCGGCGCCTTTGGTGCATGTGGAAGGCCGGATTTCACACGGTTCGTGCCAGAGTTGTGCTGGAAGGCTCAATGTTCAGTGACTTTGCACGGAAGGCCGACGAGTTCGGGGTCCATGTCAGCAAGCTGCGAGTGAATCGCTTGTCATGAGGCCTTCGCAAGAGAAGAAGGCGCCTCCCCAGCCACGAATCTGCAGGAGTTCAAAGTACTCATTGGAAACGCTGGCCTCGCAAGATAAAATCTGCAGGCCGAGGCAAGATCTCACGGGTCTTGTCTGCGTGGTTATATATGACAATGACCAAAGGCCGAACTCAAACGGTGTGTTTGTGTCTGTGCTTAGGCTTTAGGGATTAGGGGTTTCGAACCTGGGGAAGTACCCAGTGAGTTTTGTAAGGTGGTTACTTTGAAGAGAGTTTCTTGAGAGGTGTCAAACTCGTATCCTGTCGTCAGGGGATCGTGGGGTTGACAGCTGGACAACGAGGTTGCTGATCGAAGCACTACTAAAGTATCACTTCTGCTTTTGCGAACATTACTACTCACCACTCTTGTGCTTTTCTTGTTGTTCCAATCCTACCACTCTTAGCACTTCAGCTTCAGCTGAGGACTACGGTGAGCTGGAAAAAGACGCCGAGGATTGCTCTCATGCAGCTGGTTCGGCGACAAGATTACAGCCTCGTACTGGTAGGATGTTGTTGTCCTGTAGCATGTGATTGTCGCCGCGACCACCGCTATTCATGCTAGGGGCTGCACCCAATATCTTTCCCAGGAGCCATAGAGCCCTAAAGCTTGTAGTCCTTGTCTTTAGTGAGCTGTGTACCGTGCGCCAGGATTTCGACAAAGGGCGGCACCAGCTAGCCACCAGGGTGGTGGCCATATCGCACTCCAGCTGCAAGCCTGTCCGGTCCTGCTCATCGGTGCTGTCAGCCGAAATGGCATTTCATGGTTCCGTTCATTGCTAAAGGACGCTTGCACGGTGGAGTTTGACCCAAGGGATGCTTTTAAGGCAGATACCCAAAACAGGCGTCGACGCTGCGCCACCTTGACTTTCCGTGTCCCGGCCGGCGACCATGACCAACTCCAACAAGAATTAATTTAGGGGAGCCAAACTCGATGACCGACTGACTGATAGAGTGCAGTTTCGTGCGGGTGGACCTTCGCCCACGAGTAGTGCCTCGAAGCTGGAGCACCGCAACGGCTATGATCTCTAGTATTCGATCGTTACAAGTTTAGAAGAAGGACTGCAAGACGAGCTACCGGGCGCCCTAAAATGTCGTGCAACAACCCTTGCACGCAAAGAGTCCTGACATGCCCAGGGCTTCATTTGCTCAGGGCATTGTTTCAGGGTTGCATACCGGAGCATGGCATCGTGGCATCGCGTGCTTCGGGGGCTGAAGGGTCTTGGCGGGGGGGGGGGGGGTNNGGGTGTCGTTCGGAAGAATTAGTCAGTCAAATGTCCTTGGGGGGTCTGGATAATAATTCTGGGTTATGACATACCGCCATAGCCTGTAAGCGCTGTAAGCCCTTAATTCTGATTATAAAGGCCCCTGAACTACAGTATTACAAATATGTGCGTCTTTGAACTGAGGTATTGTTGGCTCCTCGGCATGCACCGGATGGTTGTGCCGGAGAATAGTGCAACAGATGCATGTGCTGGTTGGGATATGTTGGGATTTCTGAGGTTGGCTGAACTCTGGTTTGTCGCAACGGCCTTCTCTACCCTTGATCTGTAAGAGCCAAGGATTGCTTGAGTTTCGACAACAGTGATGCACGTGTCAAGCTTGAACTGGATCCCTGGTTCGCTCCGGCTGCCAACTACCTGCTTCATTCTTAGTAGCATGGCGAGAATGTTCGTCGACAACAGCGACGACGACTGCTGCCACTGCTACTTCTCCGTTGATCATTCCCTCTGCATTGCCTCAGGCGGACAGTGAGTTGTAGATATTGGAATCAATCAGCTGCCACCTGCAGGAGCTCCAAACTCTCCACCCTCAAAACATGGCAGGTCACCTTTTCGATTCTTGAAGTTCTGGCTCCTAAACCTTAGGACCCTAAGTCTAGCCGGAGAGCCACGTCCGTCAAATCCCGAATGCGGAAGCCAACGAACGGACACCCTAAAAACATAACCCAACAACCTTCGCAAAAGCAAAACACCGCGCGCATCCCGAAGCCTTGGATCTACAATGCTGAAAACGCTAGACATTTGGCTGTGCCCGAGTTGCGAGAGCATAGGCATAAACCCTGAATTCACTGATATACCATAAGACACTAGAGTGTACTATAAATACTGCAGTAGACCTCGCTGCTTGAATCTCTAAAGCTCCTGACACTCCAAACTTAATCCCAAACCTCGAACCCCTGGCCCCAAACACCCTTCGGCTTCGAAATCAACCGCTTTGAAACTGAAACCCTCGCTTCTTTGCAATGTTGGTGTACGTAGGAATTCTCTAAGAGATTATGGAACATGTCATTACTATTATGGTTCTACAGGCGCTGAAGACAAGTAAGTACACCCTATAAGTAAAGCTCCAGCAAGCCTCCGTATGCAAAGCCGGATAATCTCACGGAAGCCCAGAATCACCCTATAAGGCCTCAAACCCTAAGCCCCTAACCAGAATCACCGAGGCTACGGTCTGAACACCCGGCAGCCTGGCCATTAGCACGGCTTTGGCATTCAGTTCTTGGCTTGGTTCTACTTCTCGGCTCGAGGTGCCTTAGGATTGAGGGCTTCGGCGTCTGGCTGTATGTTGGCTTCTGACCTCTTTCGGGTTCAAGTTCGAAGGGTTGTAGATGGTTCTAGGGTTTTTTGGGTACTTCTCTTTATTTCCGACGGCCCAGACATGGTACAATCTTTGTGGTTCCGTGCCTCAGGTGGGATGAAGAAAGGTATCTAGCATGCACCTAGTCGCCCTTCCATCATTCCGCCACTTAGCAAGACACTGGGGGCTTCTCGAAGTCATGTTGGCAATTACCTTTGGGATCCTGCTCTCGTGCAGTTACGCCGCTGCTGGGCGGGGGGCCTAACCCATTCGATGGAGACACGTTCCATCCAGTGAGCCCGAGACAGCCTTAAACCCTCAAACCAAGGCCTTAAACCCGAAACAATAGCAGGTCGCTGTCTCAGCCCCTGGTAGGAGGCACGTGGGGGCCTTCCTGAAATTAAGAGTTTCATCTGCTGGGGGGGGATTCTTAGAGGAAGGATCCCAGTGATCAGGGAACCATGAAATTTCAAATATAAATAGAAGAGTGGCAAAAATTCAGGCATCTGTGTTAGGCTCCCTGTTTCGATTGGTTCATGACCAGCTACATCGGGCGTAGAGTGGAGACCCCCGGCGCCCGGAACCCGAGAAGGGATCATCATATGCCCACGCCGCCTTATTCCTAGTCTTGCACACCCAAAAAACAGTCAAGCCGGAGATTCGTCCGACACGAAACCATGAATGTTGCTATCTGCCGTTCCCTGTCCTCCACTTAATAACAAGAGCAGAAGCTCCTAAATCGTACACCCTATCAGTTAAAACTCTCTAAACCCTGCGGCCCTGTATTAATAATAATAGTCGTAATAATAATAATGATAATAATAATAATAATATTAGTAATAAAGATAATATTTATAAGAGTAATAAGAGTAATCGTCTTTTGTAATTTAATAATCAGAATAATAACCTACCGCCCTACTTACCTTAAACGTTAACTCTCGGATGCTGCACGCCTCAACCCTAAACCCTCAACCCTATAAACCCTAAACCCTATAAACCCTAAACCCTATAAGCCCTATAAACCCTAAACCCACTCTCAGGACCCCTATGGGTCGCAGCTTGCGGCAGCCGGCGCACTGGCCAGCAGCTGCCTCGAAGAGCTTGGCTGCTCGGCTGCCTTTGGGCTCGGGTTTAGGGGTTTAGGGGTTTAGGGTTTTAGGGATTTAGGGTTTAGGGGTTTAGGGTTTTAGGGTTTAGGGGTTAGGGGTTTGGGGGTTTAGGGTTTAGGAGTGTTGGGCTTGGGGCTTGAAGGGTTTTGAATGTCGTAGGGCTTTGGGGGTTTTGGGTTTAATGCAGGCAAACCCCTGATTAAGGAGTCCTTCTGTCCTTCTAGGACCTTCAATGAATGGGGTTTAGTAATCAGGCTCTACAGCATGTTTTGACGATCACGCTTAAGGGGTTTAGGGTTGGGCTCTGTTGATTGCTTCAAGCGACGCAGGTAGCTGCGCTTAGGTTCTTAGATGTATGGGGCGACATCCCGAGGGCCACCAAGCATCACACAGGTCAGACGATGGCTGTCGTGCGAAGCTTTGGGGTCCTTTTTTCTAAGGCTGCCGCCTTCTTATTCTTGGGCTCTTAAACAGAGACCCTAGTTTAGGGAACAACCCTATGAATGCACCTTCAAGTAGGTTCCCAGTCAGAGAGCATGAAAGTAAGAGATCCCGGTCCTTCCGAAGGGTAGGACGCAGTGTCTGGAAACCATGTGAGCAGTTCTCTAAATTAGGGTCCCTTCGTCGGTCCCCCAAAGAGTACGGTACGGGTCCCGCATCAAAGGGACCCTGAAAGGGGTTCTAGTTTAAAAGAACTACCCATGTGCAGTTTTGTATACGTCTTTAGAATGAGATGGTAGATGGTTAACCATTGTTTGTTCTTGCCACCCGGTTTCTTACGACTGCAATGAGGAAGACTTTCCAGGGTACATCATTCCAATGCAACAACACTACTTTTAAGTGCCGAAAAAAGCGAGCCTCACAATTGACCAATGTCAGTTGTTCATAAGAATCAGTTCTGCCACGACGAAGAAGATCTCCGTCGCAGCTCTGTCTCAAATCCCGAAGGCGAAAAGGCGGACTTTCAGCGGGGATAGAGGAGAGAACGCCCTGCATAGCTTCAGAAGAGCTGTAGGCGCTGCTGTTGGGGTTGGGCGCCGCTTAACACGTGAATTGAATTTAAGCTTCTTCTCATACTCTCTGCACCCCCCGAATGAACCCTTAACCCTGGAACCCTTAACCCTAAGCCCTGTACCCATTCATTCAAAAAGGGGAGGTCAAGAGGCTCCGGACAGGAAGGGAGAAGCAGGTTCAGGACGGTCTGCGGCTGGCTATTGATTTTTGTGATCGAAAGGTTTAGGGTTGAGTTTGGATGACAGACGGCCCCAGAACTGGTGTTCAGGTG